ACATTGAAACACAAGGTATTCAAAGCTCAATTCTTCAACAAAATTGGTGGATTAATTCAAGGGATTAATCGGTTGGTAAACAAAATCTAGAGATTAATTCAAGAAATTTTGAATTTGGTAAAGGTAATATCGATTAGTTATTTAGATTTCTTTTGATTTGTTTTCAATATCACCGTCTATGATTTTATTTAGAATTGTACATATTACGGATTTTCAGTTAATTTTTGTATTTTTATTCAAGTTTGTTTACATATTCATCTAATATTTATGTATTTCATATTTTTAGTCGTATAAACAATTTTTTTCTAATTTCGTTTTAATATTTCAGAAATTCCTCCAAGACGTGATTACTAACATATGAATGGTGGTTAGAATCTCTTCATGGTATTGGCATTAAGGGATCTGGGATCAATGGCCCCATTAAAGATGCCACAAGTTTCCCCCGAGTTATTCTTACTGCAGTTGCTTTCAATAGAACTTTGTGGCATTGGATTGAATCGGCTATTGCAGTTGAGGCAGATGCTATGTACAATACGAGATTCATTTCAATATGGATGCTAAATTGTATGTTAAATTGATATGTAGTTCTTGAAGAATCATATTTGTATTCATTTATTTTTTTCACAGCTTAATGTATTTTTTTCAGAATTTTATATCCTTTCCTAAATTGTATTCATTCCAATATATATGTGTATTTGTATTCATTATGATTTTCATGTTTGGGTTTGTATAATGACATTTATATTTCTTTATTAGTTTGTATTCATTCTAATAAGTATGCCAAATGAAATACAAATTATTAAAATTTCGTTGACAAACAACTTTGGAAGAAGAATTCCCAACTCAAACTTCTATATAATCGGTGTTCTCCAAAATTGAAACTTTCTTTTTTTATTATGTTTTCATCATAATTGTATACCAACAACTTTTGTATTTTATGTGCTCACTTTACCATTCAAATTAAAACTTAAAACTGATATTTTACTTTCATAGTGAAAACTAAAAATTGTATCCGAGTGATCAAAATTGTATTACATAACTGCCAAATATATTTTTCTTTTATTTATTACAAAAATGTTGATGATTGTATCCCAATATAATCTAATCATTACATATAAATACGAATTAAGAAAAAGGATACAAACTTATTTGTATTCATTTTGCGTTTGAAATACATAATTATTTTTGGAATACAAACTGAGCTAGAAAAATAGTTACCACAATTTAAAAGTGAAATACTAATAAAATAACAAAACTGGATATTGTAATATAAATACAATTATTTTAGTACAACTTATTCTATGTTTTTCGAAAACAATATTTTCAGTGAAATAATAATAATATAACAAACTGGAATATAAATACATTTTAGTTTGAATACAACTTAATTGTATCTGATACTTAATTGTATCCAACAATCACTACAAGTCAACAAAAATCTGTATACAACCACTAATTAGTTGATGTTTTTTACTCCATAGTTGTACGGTGTCCATAATTGTTATGCTTGTATCTCTATATTACAAAACATCCGTAAAAAGCTATAAATCTCAATACATACAAAGATTTCACTGATTTAATCAGGAAAAAAACAACAATTTATACTCGACATATGCGAATATTTTATCCAAACAAGAAAAAAATTTGAAAAAAATACCTGATTATTTTTCGATTGTTCACTGGATGCGACAAATTTATAGTCATCAATTTTTAAAAAAATCGTTTCAAAAAATATGTCGTATTCAACTTGAAGAATCTTTGAAAGTTATAAGATGAATGATTCGGAAGATAAACTAAATTATTTTTAAAAAAAAATTGATGTTCTTAAGAAGAAAGAAAAAAAAGCCTCGACAGAAAGAAGGAGATTTATAATTTTTTCAAAAGGTAACTGATTTGTATTTAAAACCTTTTTTTACCTTTTTTGAATTTTTTCGTTCCATGATTTTCTCTTTTCTGTTATTAATGTTTGTATTCTTTCAAATTAATCAAAATAAAATAAATACATAACTAATCCATTAACAAACTAAAATAATGACATTTTTAATAAAAAATGAAACTGTTGCTAAGGAATCCCACTAAAAAATAAAATATTGTTGTTTTGAAAATTTTCCCTAAGGTAAAAGGGGGCATAGGCCCAAAGTAACAAATACAAGGAAAAATTGTATATAATAGCAAATTATTAATTCAATTTAAATGTCATAACCACAGTTTGATTTAATTGTAACCGTAGCAAACTGTTGTCATTCGCCTCTCTCCCTAGGTTTCTCGATTTCCAGTCTCTCCATCGCCTCTCTCGCTCTTATACAAACACAAATGTATAAAATGTGTTTGTATAAAGCGAGATAAAATTGTATATATACATATATTTTCGTTCCCCTCTCCCAGATCTCGCTCACCACTCTCACTCGCCTCTCTCACTTTATACAAACACAAATGTAAACATTGCGTTTGTATTTGTATAAAGCGAGAGAAAATTGTATATACAAATACATATATTTTCGTCCTAAACACTTATGATTATACAAATACAAAGCTTCCCCTGCCCAGTTTTCTTTGGTCTTTCTCGCTTTATACAAACACAGATTATACAATTAATTCTTTTGTATATGTATACCAAAATAGATTATACAATTGCTTTTTTTGTATATGTATAGCGAAATATGCATATTAATAGCCATAGCAAACATAAAGTTTGTTATGGAGCGCAATTATGCAAACATATACACTTAGGGTATATTGATGTATATCCTTGTATATCGGCTCCAATTCCTATATTTCTTAGTCTATACAGCATGTATACGGGCTTCTGAAACCTGTTCTACGATTTTTATGGCTGGTTGACTCGAAAAAGGATTTTTTGGGCCTTCGTGGCCACTTTTCGAAATGCAAAGGAAGAGGATGAGTCCATGAGAACTCGAGGGCAGGTTCCACATGCAATACTAATAAACGAGTGTCAGTCACGTTCAGGGTGTAGGCTTGGGGTATGACAGTGTCAGCGAACCACTCAACGACAATAAAGTACACTTAGAATACTAGATTTAGTAGCAGTAGAAGAAGTCCAGAAAAAATCATTTTTTTTAAAATGAGAGGAAATTCCTCAATTTATAGAAAAACAAAGGGTAGTGTGAAAGGCCACAAACCTTTGGAAAAGTCACAATCTTTCGAAAAGGTCACAACCTTTAATAAAAGTCACAACTTTTTATAAAAGTCACAACTTTTCATAAAAGTCGCAACTCTTCATAAAAGTCACAACTCTTCATTTTTCATTCACACCTTTTAAAACCCAACAGAGAACGACTAAGACTCAAACATATCATATAGGTTCACACCATAATTGACAAAGAGAAGAACTCCAAACCGACATATTAAATTCGAAACGAATAAAAGAGTCACGAGTTGTTTACCTCTTGACGAGCAGCAACAGGAACAGTGACGAGCTTAGAGAGCAGTAACTTCTACCACACAATCACGAATACGAACTGCAAACCAGAGACTTGGATTGAATCTCGTCCTCAAACGAACTTATGGCAAGCAAAATGGAAGAATAAAACTTAGACTAGAATTAGTTATCTCGTCTGGTTTCTTTAAATGTATTTCGTAGTATGTATTCGCCTAAATAATTAACATGATTATAAAATAATTAATTTAATTACAAGCTACTTAATTTAAAATTACGAACTAACAATTAAACTAATTAACCAAATACTTAAGCAAAAGTAAAACTTATTGAGACGACTTTTGCATTTCCATAAAATATACTGATTATATACGCATTTTTAAAATATACATAGTTAATATTTAAATGTAACAAAATTATTTAAAATGGCAAAATTACTTTTAAAATAACTTGAAAATATTTTGAATTTTATAAAATTAATTACTTTAAATCGTTGAAATTGGAGAAGCTCGATGATTAATTTGCATCATGGAGGGTTAAAATTGGATGTCAACACACGTCAACAACTGGGTGAACAAAAGCAAGAAGATTACTTAACTAAATATCGAGTTCCCTCTAGATGCTCATCCCATCACAAGTTACATCAAACATGTGTTCATAAAAAATATTACACAATTGCAAGTCATAAAACAATTGATTATGTTTCTAAGGCTATCTCCTTGTTATGCTTGTGAACAGGATTTACAATAACTTCAACCACAAAATTAGCTAGCTTACCTATGGGGAAAAAAATGACAGACCTAAAATTTATTGGACTTAATATGGGTCTAGGACAAGTCTTTAAAAGCCAAAATTTCTTGATCTTGGCTGCTACTCATTTTTTTCTTTTTATTTTTCTCTTATTTGTCTTCAAGAGCCATTCCGAATTTTTATCTCTAATTAATTGATAACAGAAAATACAAAGTATCAATATTTGTGGTAAATTAAAATAGTAAGTGTTTATTCATTCTTATTAAAAGATTACGAGTTTTAGTCATAACGACAAATTATTTTTAATAGAAAATACTTTACTCTCAAATAAAATTTATTGACGTTAATCTAATTAAATTAATCAAATTATAAAATAGATAGCGTACGCAGCATATTAAAAAAATTATTTAAATACAAGACAATAGACATGTAGTATATTTTGGACATGTCGTTTTCATGGAACCTGCTTCTTCTTGTAATGGAATAATCAAAACCTTTTTGTACTTTATTGAAACTTGGACCTTTTCATTTATTCTACTTCATTCTAGAGAGCTGCTAAACAGCCAGAAAAATGTGGCCAGAATTTGGCCAGAAACGTACAAAGACTATACTAACCTTTTAGTTTAAAATAAAGGAAAAATGTATAAAAGTGTTTGTCATTTCCTAAAATTACAATTCAATTAGAACACAGATTCTTAGGCTTAGAATATGAAAAGTCGCATTGGGACACTACTTTTTCTTCATTCCAACTAATACAACGTATTCTTATTCTTACGTAGCATTAGTACTGCTAAGGGAATCCTGCTAATTCTTTTTCCTATTCTTCTCTACTCGATCACTTCTCCAAAAAAATATGAATACAACTGAAGTTAGGGAGGAATTGCACAGATCTTTAGGGATGGCATCAGACGATAGTTTGATGAACGAAAATGAATGGGTCGATGATGATTCATACTATAGTTTGAACAATGATGTACGTCTAGATGAGGACGATGAAGAAGTTGAGAACAATGAGGAACACATTTTAGGAGATGAATTGGAAGAGTGCGATGTTAATGGTGAACCATATGATACTTTCACCAAAGAGGATGCGAGTGTTGGTCCAATTTCCGGAATGCAATTTAAAGATGAAAATTATTTGTTTGCATTGTACAAAGAGCATGCACGATTGAAAGGATTTTCTATTGTGAAAAGAAATTCCAAAAAGATAGTTGGTGACACTACAAAGTATTTAACTTATTGTTGTGATCGAGCTAGAAATCGCAAAGTTAAGTATACCACAAAGAGTAACAATTGTAAAGCTAGGATCACTGCCATTGTTGATAGCTATGGTTTTTGGCTTGTCTCTAAAGTTTTTAATGAGCACAATCATGAATTGCTTCCTGCCATAGCTCGGTTAATGGCTGGTCACAGGTCGATTAGTCAATCTTTGAAAAGGGATCTTGTAGCTCACGATCGATCTGGAATTAGACCCTCCAAGAACATTAGGCTTGTTGAGGTTCAACGCGGTGGACCACAAAATTTGGGTTGCACTCCAAAGGATTGTAGGAATTTTATTTTGAATAGTAGGAATTTTGAAAAGCAAGAAGGGGATGCGCAGTCATTGCTTTACTTTTTTCATGAAATGCAGATAAAAGATAGGGAGTTTTTCTATTCAATAGACATTGATAATAGTGGAAGGCTACAAAATGTGGTACGGGTGCATTCACATTGTAAGGCTGCTTATGAGCACTTCCATGATGCGATATGCTTTGATACGACGTATCTTGTGAATCGCTACAGTATGCCATGTGCTTCATTTGATGGCATCAATCACCATAGACAATTGATACTACTAGGATGTGCTCTCATGTCTCATGAAGATATCGTTAGTTACAAATTGATTTTTAGAACTTGGCCTGAGGCTATGGGAAATGTTCACCCAAATGCTATCATAACTGATCAGTGCCTGAGCATTAAGCCAGCCATTGCGGAAGTGATGCCACATATTGTACATAGATATTGTATTTGGCATATATATATTCTCAAAGTTGCCGCTTTACTTAAGTGGCTTCCCAATTCTAAAATTGCACGTGGAGAATTCAAGTACATGATCCTTGATAGTATTAGTGTTGAAAACTTTGAGATAAGATGGGCAGAATATATTGCAAAGTATGATTTGCAAACAAGGGATTGGTTCAACAAGCTTTATATTGAGAAGGAGAAATGGGTTCCTGCGTATCTTGATGTATTCTTTTGTGATGGTATGTTATCTACACAAAGAAGTGAGGGAATGCATGCATTTTTTGATGGATTCATCTCCCATCAAAGCACCTTGAAGCTATGTGTACACCAATATGAGTTAGCTATAAGAGCTACGCATGAGAAAGAGTTGGAAGCAGAATATCGGTCCAAGGGATTTCATATTATAAGTGAGTCATTGTTCAAGTGGGAGGAACATGTAATTCAATGTTACACTCGCACGATATATGAATTTTTCAAGTCATAATTAAGAAAATTGTATCATTGTGAAGTCAGCACCCCTGCCGATCATGAAGTTATCCTCGATGTTGAAAAATTCATCATTAGACTTGGTAAATGTCAAAAGTTATAGAAATCATGCATATAGTTCATATGTGTCGAATCAAAGAGAGTCAGATATATACTTTTAATTATATAAGTTTTATCTCCTATATTATATCGATTTGATAAATTCTGAATCATTACTTATGCTTGTTACTAAATTGACCTCCAACTATGTAATTTGCTTAATTATTATGTTTAAATAAAATTAAGCTATATAAATAAATAAATTTTAAATGTAATTTGTACAATAATGACAACTCAAAACACATTAGACCTGGTAAATGTCAATAATTATAGAAATCGTGCATATAGTTCATATATGTCGAACCAAAGAGAGTTAGACATTAATAATTTTTAAAATATTGAGATAACGACAACTCAAAACACATTAGATCTGGTAAATGTCAATAGTTATAGAAATCATGTGTATAGCTCATACATGTCGAACCAAAGAGAAAATGTCAATAGTTATAGAAATCATGCGTATAGCTCATACATGTCGAACCAAAAGAGAAAATGTCAATAGTTATAGAAATCATGCGTATAGCTCATACATGTCAAGCCAAAGAGAGTTAGACATTAATAGTATTGATCCTACCAGTCTTATTTCCTATATTATGTTGATTTGATAAATTGTGAATCATTACTTATATTTGTTACTAAAATGACGTCCAATTAAGTAATTTTTTTAATTATTATGTTTAAATGAAATTAAACAATATATTTAAATAATTTTTAAATGTAATTTGTAAAATATTGAGATAACCACAACTCAAAAGATATTAGACCCAGTAAATATCGATAATTATAGAAATCATGTGTAAAGTTCATATATGTCGAATCAAAGAGAGTCAAACATTAATAGTATCAATCATACAAATTTTGTCCCCTATATTACGTTGATTTGATAATTATGAATCATTATTATATTTGTTACTAAAATGACCTAAAAATTCCAATTAACTATTTTTTAAACTACTATATTTGAATAAAAAAATTAATGTTAAGTAAATTTAGTTAACACTAATCTTTTGGCCATAATCTGTTGTAATATTAGTTAGGTAAATTTTTTTATAATAATATACAATCAATAAGAATAAAATGTGTAATATAACGTGAAATTTTTCTTATTCTAATACAATCAACAAGAATACAATGTAATTCAGAATTTTTTATTTTTTTTTACTACTGATGTAACAATTATTATTGTTTTTTTGTAAAACATAATTTGAAAACATTTTTTTTATATAGGTTGCATGAGATCACTTAATATTTTTTTTGTTGAAATTTGTAGTCTTCTTTCATAATTGACTATGGAATCATCATTAATGTCATTAATTATTTTCAATACATTGGAAACATAATGGAAGATTATAGAGATCCCAAGAATGTATTCAATTTTCAAGCTAAAAGGGTAAAATTGTCCAAAATAAAACTAGTTTATAGTGTGAACATGTCCTTTTACTATTCTGGCCAAAAGGATTTTTGTTTTATTCTACTTGGAGTATATATAAGTGTGAAGCAGCACACACATGTTGGACAACATGTGTGCTTTTTGGAATTAACATTTTATTTTGGGACAATTTTTATTCTATATATAAGTGTGAAAAAGCACACATCTATTGGACAACATGTGTGCTTCTTGGAATTAACATTTCATTTTAGGACAATTTAGTAATTACCATATAAGTCTAGTATATAAGTGTGAAGAAGCACACACCTGTTAGACAACATGTGTGCTTTATGGAATTAACATTTCATTTTAGGACAATTTATTCTATTCTATTATATATAAGTGTGAAAAAGCACACACCTGTCGGACAACATGTGTGCTTCTTGGAATTAACATTTCATTTTAGGACAATTTTGTAATTACTATATAATTCTAGTACTTTGAAAATGGTGTGGTTGAAAAATATTTTTTAAGGGAAATGCTAGAAAATTTAAAAAATTATAATATTTTTTATTTTAAAATAAATTGATCTTTTTTTCATTTTTTACTTAAAATGTGTTAAAGTTAAAAGGGTAAAATATTTAAAAAGAAAAAATAATATGGCTAAAATATCATTCTGGTCAAATTTTGACCAAATTATCTTGGCCTAAAGGATTTTTCCTTTTCTTTAATTCCTATCATGTGTTTGTATTGGTAATGCATTTGGTTGCAGTACTTTTTCAAACTCTCATTTACCCCTTCTTTTCCACCTATACAATAAACCCAGTGATAGACTTTGGTAAATACATTGAATAATTGAGCCATTTTCAATGCCTAAAAAGGCAAAAGAAAAGTTACCATTGATGTACTTATGCGGACCCCACAAGTCTCATCACATTAATGTTCCGTATTTATAGTTATTTTTATTTTTTTAAAGTTCTATTAACTAATAAAATTCAAGGTTTTTTAACATTGTCTATTAGTACTAAATATTTATTCAACTCTGTATATTGAGACAAAAGAGTAACATATATTATTTTAAAATGATGTAAAAAGTACTATATATCATAATAATTAATAACTTAAAATATTAAAAAATCATATAATTGACTCTCAAAATTTATTTGTGCCACATATATTGTTTGAAAATAACGTAAAAAAGTACTACAAATCACCGTAAAATAACAACTAAAAATATGTGAGAATCATATAAGAAATTTCGTTGACTTTCCTAAAATCACTTGTGTCACATAAAATGGAACAAAAGAAGTGATATATATTATTTGAAAATGACATAAAAGGTACTATAAATCACTGTAAATTAATAATTTAAAATATTTTAAAAAAAAACACATACAAAAAATTTATTTGACTATTGATTCCATTTGCGTAACATAAATTTTGATAAAGGAAATTAACATATGTTGGGCCCGCGCTGGCGCAAGCGCCATATATATATATAATATTTTACTTTGATCAAACTACGGGAATGTATCAAATAAAGTAAAAAAGAAGTAGATTATTCATTGTCAAATCTTATTTTTTTTTCCTTAATGTTTGATATTTGTTTATGGGTTTCACTAATTAGAATTCATGCCTAAAGACTTCAGTTTGAAAATAAAACGCTTTTTATTAAAGATAGATTCAATTTTTTTTTATCGATTCTAAAATATTTGATTAAAAATAGAAAAATATCATATGAAATATCAAAGATTTTAATATTTTAGAAAAAAATTATTTGGAATTTATTGAGTTATATTTGATTGTACATTTTGCAAAGAATATTTGAAATAATGTTTTTGCTTGAATTACTCAAATACAAGTTAAAAGTGAATAGTGGTTGATTTTTTTTATTTTTTTTTATGTTAAATATAAGTTATTTTTTCAATTTGAAATTTTCATGGGTTTGACCGAACACTTCTTTTTAAATAAAATGAATTTTTTTTTATAGTAAAACGTATATGTCCTACTCCCTTTCACTACTAAAAAAAAAGTGAATACCGACCTAAAAATTATCGACCTCAAATGAAAGTCGGTAATTTCCCACCTCCGAAGGTCGGTATTGTTAAAAAGAATAAAAAATAAAAAAACTTTAGAAAACCGACTACAATGAGTTGGTTTTTATGCAAAATAAAGCGGGAAAATCAAATACCGACCTCTGGAGGTAGGGATTTTCCCCAGAAAAATGAATTACAATAAAAACTGACCTCTTGATGTCGGTATTAAATAAATAAATAAATAATAATATTTTATTTTTCTCAATTAAATTTAAAAATAACATCGAGAATTATTTTGAATTAATTTTATTGAAATCGTCCTCCAGATGACGGTTTTGTGTAAAATAAAAAACAAAAAAAATTATACTACCGACTTCCGAAAGTCGGTAAAATTAAATAGTATGTAATTAAATTAATTTTCATTAAAAAATAATATAAAAAATATATATATATAGCGACTTTCTGAAAATTGATAAATTAATATTTGCAATTAACTTTAAATAGATCGTTCTCTGGATGACCTTTTTATATAAGTTAAAAAATAAATTAATATAAAATATCGACTTCCCGATGTCAGTATTATTTAATTAACATGATTACTTTTATTTATCTTAAAATTTAATGTGATACCGACCTCATAAGGTCGGTATTTTTTATTTAATCTAATTGCTTTTAGTAAAAGCGACATGCGAATGTCGGTTTATTTAAAATATTCCTATTAATCATAATTTTGCTATTGTGCATAGTACTAAATTTTCATTTTACACCTACAACTAATTGTTTCAAAAGTGTAACAATTTTGTATACTTTTATAAATAAAAAGTTAAAATTCGTGGAATAAACAAAAAAACATCAATAATTCATATTTAGAGTATGAAACTACGTTAATATGAATCAGGAGATAATTATACTTATATTTCTAGAGTAATGTACAAATTCTATCAGTCAGTCGTCAAATAATAAATTCAATACCTCATGTAATGATGTAGAGGTGAAAGCTAACATATAATCCATCCGAATATGAAATGCGAGATGATACTTGTAGAAATGTCATGATAATAATTAATTAAGTTTTATATTTATAATTAATTGTTTAATTATTTATACGTATAACCTTCAATGTCTTATCTCGTTTTATGAAATAGACAATAGAGCATCGTAAAGTACTGTACAAAGCAAGTTCTATTAAGATTTTTAGTTCGATCTTGAATGGATGTCAAGTGTAGTGATCATATTGTAGGCAATATAATGACATGTAAATGATAATCCATCGGAGTATGAAATACGTTGATTATATACTCGTTGAGTAGTTTAACAAATCAAGTCTTATATATTAATGATTCAGATATGAAATACATTATCAATTAAAGAAATATCGATGATCAATTTAAGGAGATTTATATATTAAATTTGATAATTATCAACTGCATTTCACACATTTTTGAATTCTTAATTGATACTATATATATATGTGTGTGTAATTTTAATTAATAAAATCGACCTTAAGAAATCAGTATACTTAAATTATTATTTATTTAAATAATATCAACTTCACGATATCGATTTTTATTAAATATTTTCAATATAGATAATTATTTAGTAAACTAACACTTCTTTTAAAAAAGAATGATAATCTCAAAGCCCAAAAGTCAGTCAGCTCTCTCAATCCTCTCTCACGCCCACCATCCCCGACCCATTCCCGACCGGCGCCCACCCCCACCCACACCCATCACCGACCGGCGCCATCTCAGCAGCAGCAGAGGGCGGCAGCAGCAGCAGCAATCTTGGTAAGTTTTAAATTTTCCATTTGCTCATCAACAATTTGAAAATGTTTAGGAATATCACTAAAACAAAAAAAAAAAAAACTCCAATTTATGCATTGACTTGTTTCAAGCCTAAAAAACCAATCTTGATTGTTGATATCAACTTGTCTGATTATCTAAAAGAGTTAATGTATGTGGGGTTTGCTGCTTCTACTGAGGGAAGTACTGAATTGCATAGTATTGAGAATTGGAGTTTTCGAACTTATGGATTTGGCCCTGTGAGGCATCCTCATAATGTTTCTGATAATACTGTGATTGTAAAGCCTCCGATTATTTAAGATTCTGGCCATAAACATCATAATAAGAGTCTTGGGTTGGGCTTTGGAATTGGTAGTCCAGCTCTCTTTTGTGCTGTTCTTGTAGCTTTTGGTTGGATTTCTGTCAAGAAATGGTGGTCTAGCTTTCTTTAAATATGCACAAATAAGAAATCTGTAACAGCAAAACGATGAAAATAAATCCAATCAACATTGATCAATTGAAAATAGGAGTAACCTATTTTGAATTATCAAGAAAAAGAAAAAACAACACAAACTTGTTTACTAATTGTCAACTGTTAATAATGACTGAAATCTCTCTATAACGACCACGGAAGAAATTTTAAATTGTTTCTTTTCGTGCTAGGCAACTGAGGAAGCTCAACATCTAAAAAAGTTGATACAAGACTATACTGCTTCTTTCATCAAAGTAGAAGATAAGGTTTGGTGTTTCTAAATTTCTAAAGTTCAAGTACAGTTGTTTTCTATAATGTGTTTGTTTAGCATAAGTACCAACACTAGTTGATCCTATTAATGACAAAATTGATATTTTTGCAAGATCAATTTGTGTCCATCTAGTGTTGATACTAAGCTTTAATTTAGGAATAATGTGTTTGTTAAGCATAAATACCAACACTAGTTGATCCTATTGATGACAAAATTGATTTTCTTGCAAGATCGATTTGTGTCCATCTAGTGTTGATATTAAACTATAATTTAGGAATAATGTGTTTGTTAAGCATAAGTACCAACACTAGTTGATCCTATTGATGACAAAATTGATTTTCTTACAAGATCAATTTGTGTCCATCTAGTGTTGACGCTTAGCTTTAAATTTAGGAATAATGTGTTTGTTAGAAATAAGTTCAAAAAAAATTTAATTAACCCCTAGCTAGTTTGACTCATTTATATTTTATACTTCACACCAAACGACTCGTAAGGATGAGAAAAACTCTCCGTCTATACTATCTAGGGTTTAATTGTAATCATAAAAACTTGTATGTCCAATTTAACCTTTTTTAAAGAATAAGAGAACCTATTTGTATTTAATGCCTCCTGCTTCAACGTTGTAAGTGCTAGGGTTTAACGAATTACAGTGTCGACACAGAGAAGAAGAAGAAGCAAAAATGGGAGGTAAAGGGAAGAAGAGAAGAGAGGAATTACAGAGCAGCTCATGGAGGCACTACTAGACTTGCTCCCCCACCCAACACCTCTTCTATTGATGCCATTCCCTCTGAGCTCCGTCAAATTATGGCCTTTTCAGGTACATGTCTTGTATGTGCTTGGTTGTGAATTGATTTAGTACATGGAATTTTGGTGGAAAGTAATTGTTTTTCTTAGTTTTCAATGTTTCTTACGAAGTGGGGTTTTCTTATTTATTGTTTTAGGGGATGGGAAAGGTTCATTGGATAATGCAGACAGGAAGAAAGGAGATAGTGGTGGTAGTGGTAATGGGAAGGTAAAATTGCATATTGAAAGTTGGGACTTTGTAGTTCTTATTTTAGCCTTATTCAGGTAGTTAGTGGCTATTGGTATATGCTATCTATATGTTGTTTACTATGTTTAGGTAATCGCACTGTGTTGTTAATGTTATGGTACCTTTAATGAATGAATGTTCTGCAGTGCTTCCGACTAGTTGTTGTGTTTTCTTCCGACTAGTTGTCATGTTTTCTTCATTGTCGTTTTTTCCTTTTCCATTACTACTTTGATTTGCTTCACTTGAGCGGACATTCTTTACGAAGCAGCCTCCCTACCTCCATAAGGTAAGGTACAGTGTTCCCGGAATTATTTAGTCTACTAGTTGTAGGCAGTGCAGGAATTGCATGAGTTTGGGAACCTATAGTTAATAAAAGATAAATTCCACTCTTTTACTGATTTAGGTTGTAATGGTATTTATACAAGTAATAGTCCAATTTATGAATATGAAGCTTTTTTTTTGAATTTTTTTGTTTGGAGAGAAATGTAATAGTCCAATACTAGTAATATGATTAAGTGGATTCTTATCGACCATCCAGTGATAAATGAGACAGGGGTGCAGAGACAGCTAGATAGTGGTGGGGCCAGGAGTTTTACTAAGGAGTGTCAAAATATAAAGTAGTAAAGAAGCCAAAGGGCGTTGATGTATAGTATATATATAAAAGAACTTTTTACCAAACTACACAGTATAATTTTCCAACGAAATAGTATCAATTGACACTCCTTGAATACATATGGCTCCGCCACTGCAGCTAGGAGGTTTGCCTAGAAGAAGCAACTCTTGAAATAGTGCGTAATAGCTCAGTGATTGAGTGTTCTTGCTCAGCAACAATCAGACAAGTGGGGAATGTTGGGGTGAACAGAAAAGTTTGGCTATAGCCGGATCTAAGGTTACTGTAGTAAAGGGGTGGGGGCGCTCATGTTATAGCTTTGGTATATGCATATTAACAAATACCAGGAAAAACATGCCATTTCAGATGAATATATGATGTATTCACAATCCCTCGAGCAAGTGTAGTTATTGTGATTAACACACTTCATAAGCTCGGAAGTGTACCATGATAGGTCTATTAATCTATGATCAGCTCAAGTAAGCAGTCAAGCTTGAAAACACCAAATTCAATCAATCCCAGTTAAGTCTAGTTTGGTTTCCTAGCAACTTTGTTAGACTCTGTCGCTCTTATAGTTTTCCTTTTCTCAACACTTGTCTTCTTCTATAAGCTATAGAATGTTAGACGGATTTTGCAGCCCCTTTCTGCAGGAAAAATAGTGTTTTATGTAGCTATTACATGTACCAAAGAGTATAATCGTATTTTCTAAGTTTTTTACTTACCAAAATACAATCTCTATATATCTCTGGAATAATTAATTGGAAAGGGTAGAGGGCGGGCCCATTATCCACCGAGTTTAGAAGGTTGTGATTGGTCCAAAGGGCGGGTCACAGACGGATTTCTTGGTTATCAAAAAAAAAGAATCATATTTATGTAAGCTTCCTACTTTTCTATACGTCTTGTTTGCGGGGTGGGATGGGGTGGGGTAGGGGGTTCCCTGTTACATATATGGAATATTTAAGTTAATCAAAATAAATTCAATTTTAACTTTGAACTTGTCAATAAATAAATAAAAGTTTACTTGAAGTATCTCAAGAATTTTCTGTTAGTCTCCATTTTGACTTAAACAAATGTCAATGCTTCTGTATGCTATTGTTGCACATTTTTCAATGCCAGTGATCTTTTCACTATTTGTTGTTCCAATTATGGTCTTTGACTCTTTGTCAATATAGATTCGTATACTTCCGCTCTCTCTTGTCTAGAGTAACTTACATATTGTTGTGAATCATTAAGCAAAGGAACTCGAGTTCTCTCTCCTTCCCTTCTGTTTGTTCTACTATGACCTCCAATGGCTTTTTGTGTTTTCTCCTTTTTATGTGAATGCATTCTGTGTATTATATTAGGTGTTCAAACTTTGGACTTATATGTGTCCCTGAACAGAGAATACATTCAGAAGATCAAGTTCAAGCTAAAACTGTGGGTAACAAACGGAAAGATGACAAAAGCAGTTTAAGTGGTGTTGGAGCAGAAGAAAGTAATGCACATCAGAAGAGAAATAAAAAGAGAAAAAGAAAGGAAGTGAAGGACCTTCGGTTTGATACAGCTGAACTGGGCATTACTAGTTCAAAGAGAAAGGAGCGAAAGAAATAGTAAGAACTGATGCCTCAGCAAAAAATCTTCTTTTACTTTCCTGGCTTAGAGATAGTAGTAACCTTTACTTGAAAAGTACTTTTCTATAATATCAGAGGTGAGAGTTGAAGTAGAGGCAGAGCCATTGTTTTATGTCAATCTTAAATGCTTATGCCACATATCTTGTTTAGGAGAACAACTAAACCAACTCTATTTCATGAGGGAAAAGGTTATGCATTTTAATCCCGGCTATTCAAGGGAGGCAAATCCGCTACGTCACGGTTATGGAGCTTGAAGTTCTTAGGAGTGTTCCTGGACCAGGAGCCATTAACTAATAATGTATGCTATCAAAGAATGACTAAGATCATTGGGTAGTAAGGGGGTTGATTTGCTGAGGCTGGGGGTTATTCTATGACAACTTTGACTCGAATCAAATTCAGTGTTAATTTTGCGACTAACCTTTGAACACCATTACCTGTTTTCTCTAGTTTAATAGATTATTTGCTTGTTTCTCCTATTACTGAGAAGCAGCTGAGGTATTTTTTTCCAAATAACTTTCTACTCCTTGACGCAACAAGTAGTTGATCATTGTTCTACCGTCTGTGTATGTGCGCACTGTATTCCTTTCAATATCATATTTTATAAGCAATCTGGGTAATCAAGCAACTTCTGTTGTAAGCAAATGAAAAAGGATTCACCCAAATTAACCTTTCTTTGCTGAAGCAAATGTAATAAGGATTTCACATACGTTACTCATTTTGTGACATGTTTCATTTCTCATTTTTTTTCTTTTTTTTTTTTTTTAGTGTTTTTTTGGTTCTGAGGGGTGGGGGACTGGTTTCTGGCATTGCATTGTCTACAGGTTGTTACCGAATGGTTTTAATTTGGATGTATGCAGGCGTTTGGCAGAAATGAAGAAGAAACACAAAAAGGCCAATACTGATGAACACATGGATTTTTCTGGCCGTGAAGAAATAAAATTTGGTGAAGTTGAAGCTCCACTTAAGCTTGCAGTTCCAAAGGTACATCTGGATAGTTGGATACTGTATTTATACACACTCCATTGACATGAACTTTGCCTATGCTTATGACATTGACCTTGTATACACTGATATTCATATGGTAAAACGTACTTGTGTTCTCATTATGAAGGCATTCAAGAATAATGCACATGATGCTTCAAAAGAAAGACTTCGATTGCAAGCAGTTGAGGCCTATAGGCAGCGGAAAGGATGGACATCAAGACTGGGGCTTCAGATTTTTCCACCAATCACCGAGACTCCATTGGTATAGTTATCTCAGAGACAACTAGCTGGATGGGTACATGATGTCATGCAAAATATCTACACTTGTGCACCATATAATATCCAAAGTAGAAGTAAGGTAATACTTGTCACGGAAAAAGTTAACAGCGAGAAAAATGGAAAAGGAATTGGAGACTCAGCTTAGTTATACAGTATATGAGTCTTTCTTGTAGTTTATTAGTATACACAAGTCATTCTACATTGAAATCCTTTTTAATTTGAATGTGACTCGTGTTCTGGGAGGCTTCTGTCTTGACTCATATAGAGAGCATTGTTAACTATGGTATTCTCCCCTGAGACGGGGTTGACCAGTCGGAGCTGGGTGATGGGGGGTTTGCAGGTAAGGATGTAAGATCATGAAACACGAAAAAAAAGAAGTGAAAATGAAAGCAGACAGTTAAGTTTGTGTGCTATGAATGGGTTATAGGTCTTATTTGATGCTGAGAAGTGAGAACCTAACAGAAGTTGAAGGTGGCTGGCTTACATCAAGCTTGTGTCTTGAAATTCACCTCAATTTTTATACTAAGAAGTGATTAATTACATCATCAGCAACTATTAGAAATACTATTATTAACCTCTAATATTTTTCTTGAGCATTTTAAAATAAATTCAATCATAATAAATATCATCACATTATTCATTAAACCCAAAATCATTAGAGGTGGAAAAGAAAAAAAAATACTATCTTTTATATAGAAAACTAGATAAACGAATTGAAACGGAGTGAGTAGCTCCTAGTATGTCATGAAGAATGTCTCGTAGTGCTAATTTGAAAGATTGACTATTATTTTCTTTCTCCTGTAACAATTGTTTGCCTATTGCTTTTTGTATATTTGCCCCTATGTATTGACGCAATACATCAATGAGGATTGTTCAACACAAGAATAGTAAGTACCTCATGTTCTGCTGGCTACTTGAAAACCATGCTGTTCAGTGTGCCAGACAGTCAAGTCATTTAGGCGTTGGAAGAGCCTGTACCTTTCCCCTAAATCTTATCCATATGATTTTTGTGCGCTTACACAACAAGTTATAGTTTAATATCTAGTTTGTGTTAACCCGTAACCGTGGTAGATTTATTTGAGATAAACATCAGTCAGTTGGTGACTTTTATCAAAATTAATACGAAGAAATACCTGTCTTTTTAATCATCAAACTGCTGGATGTGGACTTTTAATGAGGTGTTTAGTTACTTAAGGGTAAAGGAGGAAGAAATTCACTAGTTTATGTCCCTCCCTCCATTATTATTTGGAACAAGTCGAAGGGTTAAAGAGATATATTTTGTCCATTTAGTCCTTAAAGGGGCTAAAAAAGCAGGCATGGATAGGTATCTAGCAGAACCTTTCACTTGTACTCCTATATATCTCCCACCCTTCTGCTCTCTTTGAAACAGACTGTAAATGATTGACTTTTCCAAAGTGGAAAAGAATGTGATAAAAAATGGAACTTTTCTGCTGCCAGAGATCATTGATCAGTGGAACTCTTTGCTGGCCTATTTCACAGTTCATATAACATGCAAGGTGGATGGCTATGTTGCTTGGACCCTGCACCTATATTGGATTCTTCAATAATGCTCTGCTTTTGAGGATCCGACATGCACCTTGCGTATGTATCACATGTTTGAGATAAATTGAGACGAGGAGAATAACATATTATTTAAAACTAAGACAATACTATAAATGACAATAATTAACAATTTCGTTAAAAAAAAATTTAAAAAATCCGGCTGGCTCTCTAGCTTTTATCCATAGCGCATATATTAGGACAAAATCAATACTCCCTCTATCTCAATTTATGTGATACTTTTCGTTTTTCGGGAGTCAAATAATTTAAGTTTGATCGAAAATTTGCGCATGAAATCTTCAATTTTTTTGAAATGAAATTTATATATTTGTAAACTACGTAAAAAGTATTGTAAGTCATAATAGTTGATAATTCAAAATGTTTAAAAAATCTATAAAAATTTACGATAAAAAATAGACTTATTTGAATCTTCAAATTTGAAAAGTGTCACGTAAAATAATAGAAAGAGAATAATATATATTGGGCCCGTGCTCATATATCTAGTATAAGAATAAATTAAGTGAAATAAATGAAAAGATAATTAAAACAACCAAAGGTAAAGCAATTTCTCTTCATTCTCAAATTTCAACGCTTTCTTTACGTCTCTTTAATTCTCCCACGAAGATTCAGATTCAGATTCAGATTTCGGTCAATTCTCGCCGGTCCTTCACCGGCAAATTTCATCGCCCGTCGATCGCTGAATAGTAAGTTCTATTTATCGCATCATTTTTTTTTGAAGCATTTAAATAAATTAGCTTTATAATAATCTCGCATCCAGATTTCGTTTTGATTAAGCATTTAGTTTCGAGAACTATGGATTTTTTTGCTTGAATTGAGATAGCGTCGTAATGTATCTGAGATTAGCGAATATATCTGTGAACCCTAACTCATTGTAATCGGAATTCAGCTGCTAACCTTTTGGGATTAATGATTATCGCTTGATTTTCTGTTCAATTTTACATCGGTTAAGGAAATTGTGAATTTGATGTGCCTCAATCTCATACCTAGCCTAGTATATTTATATATGACATATTTTATTTTGATCAAACTACATGAATATATCAAATAAAGTAAAAAAAAGAAGTAGATTATTCATTTCTGTCAAATCTTAATTTTTTTCCCTTAATGTTTGATATTTGTTTTTGGTTTTCACTAATTAGAACTCATGCTTAAAGACCTCGGTTTGAAAATAAAACGCTTCTTATTAAAGATAGATTCAATTTTTTTTGGCTCGATCCTAAAATATTTGATTAAAAATAGAAAAATATCATACAAAATATCAAAGATTTTAATATTTTAGAAAAATTTATTGAGTTATATTTGATTGTACATTTTGCAAAGAATATTTGAAATAATGTTTTTGCTTGAATCGCTCAAATACAAGTTAAAAGTGAATAGTGGGTTGATTTTTTTATTTTTTTTTATGTTAAATACAAGTTATTTTTTAAATTTGAAATTTTCATGGGTTGACCAAACACTTATTTTCAAGTAAAGTGAAAAAAATTATTTAGGACATGCGTTTGACTATAATATGTCCCGCAAAATTTTTAATATGTCCCGCTCCGTCCCACATAACAATTTTTTCCTTTTTTTGCTTTCAAACCGCCCCATCCTACCCCGCATAATTTTTTATATGTTTTTTTTTCTAGTTAAGTTTGATACTAAAAAATAAAATTCATAAAATAAATTCATTTTTTTTATTAAGTTGTATTAATTTAATAGATAATGACTTAAAAATTTATTTTGTAGAGGTCATTTGGGAAACATGTAAGAAATTGTTTTTTTTTTATGAGATTATTTTCATTTACTATCTTGAATAATTTAGTAGCTTTAAAGAAATTATCTTAATAAATAATGTTCTATCACTCTTATAACATGTAAAAATTTAAAATTAAGTTTGAACCCACATAAAATCACATATACCCGCAACCCACCCTGCATTAGTTTTTAAAAACCCACTTAACCCGCCCCGCCCCGCATAACTTTAAATCCACCCCGCCCCATTGTAATCCCTAATTTTTGACTTGACACACCTATTAAGAAAATAATAATTGACATAGCAAGTTTACCATTTTACCTCTATTAATTTATAGAATTCCAAAATAAATTTACTCATTAAAGAGGTTCTACCTTTTTTTAAAAACTTTCTAAATAAATTGAGGGCATAATAAGTAAAAAATATTGTATTTTCTTTATTTGTCAAAAAGACAAGTAAAAATGGATAAGTAAAAATTTAAGATTGGACAAAGTAAAAAGGGACAGAGAGAGTAATAATTGAACATATAGTAAAAATATACTCCCTCCGTCCTAATTTAAGTTTGACTAGGCACGAAGTTTAAGAAATAAAAAAAGTTATTTGAATTTTATGATCTCAAATAAAAGATGTGTATAGTCTTTTAAATCTTGTGGTCTTAAATTTACCATGTAAAATATTATAATTAGAAAACTTACAATATGAAAAAAAAAAGACGGAATTTTTTGGAGACAAACTAATATAAACTAAAATACTTAAATTGAATCATATAATATTAAATACTCCCTTTGTTCACTTTTACTTGTCATATTTAGACTTGACAAACACATTAGAAAATAATAATCAACATAGTATTTTACTAGATTATTCCTATTAATTAGTACTTAATTCTTTGTATTAGATCTTGAAAAATAATTTTAGAAATAAATAACTAATGCTAAAGGATAAAATATAGAAGAAAATAATTATTTTTTCTTAATATGGTAAAAATGACAATAAAAAAGAAAAATCTATTTTTAAAATATTGGACAGGTAAAGTGAACTGTATTAATTAACCAAGAATAAATGCCAATTTTTTTTTATCTCCGATCTAGTGTCCAACTCCATATTGACGTCTGACTAAATCTAAATTCACATCGAAAAATCCCACATTATGAGTAAAGTACACACTAACAAAGGCAATTTTGTACCCAAAAAGATTTAGGGTTTGTTTGGAAAGCCACCTGATAATTGAAATTAGTGTAATTACTAGGGTAATAATTACCAACAATTCACACATCTGAAAATTAGAGAGTGTAATTATCCTTGTCAATTACACACAAACCAAGTAATTACATGATCAACCAAACATACCAGACAATGTAATTATACTCAATTATATCAAATCCAATTACCAAAATGATTTTCCAAACAAATTAAGAATAAGGAGCACTTACTACTCTAACATTTATAAGATTTTAGCATCATTAGGACAAAAATGAATGAGTTGGCACAATATAGTTGGGTACTAATTGAAAGAAACCACATAACAAAAATTGAGACATATTAGATTAAAAGAAAAAAAAAACCTAGTGGCACTCTTTGAGCAAAAACACCTTAACCGGTATCCCAATATCCACATTATAAATTACTCAAAAGCAATTTGATCTCAGATCTACGTCAGATTCTCCGAGCCAATTTTTGCTGAGGTAAGCCAATGAATGCACAATAAAG